AAGCTAAGACATTGAGAGTTAGCAATAAAAACAGCAACAAACAAAATCCCAACGGATTTGGAATTCCTTTAGTTTTTAGTTGGCATAAGAATAATGTGATTTCTTTGTTCTGTTCTTTCTTATCTACAGCACTCAAATAATCGTTTATTTCAGTCGTGCAGTCAAGTTACTTCTATTGTTGCCCAGAGCAGAATGGTGCCCAAGATAGCCTTACGTATGTAGAATAATAGAATGAACCTTTGTGTTGATTTTTTGGTAGAGGGGTAGTGTCATTTTTTAAAAACTTACACTAAATAGTGCTTTTTTTTTTTTTTCCTGTTGTGAAACTCAGTGATCTTCTAGAATGGGGTAGGATGGGTGCTTTGCTTTTAACTGTTGGTCTACCTGGCAAAAGGGTTTCTCTAAAATCCTCTTTGTAAAAATAGAACTGAGACAATGTGCAAGAAATTATTATTTTTATTTTCGGTTGTTTATGGTTTTTAAAAGCAGATGCAATGTTATCTGCCGCCGTTTGTGCAAATGATGAGTTGTGCTTTCAAACTAATTTCCTCCAGTGAGTTTGACCAAAATACTGGGCTTTGTAAAAAGCTCTGCTCAAAAAGTATTTGGCATTACGAGGCCACGAGGCAGTTGTACAACTGAAGCCTCTTTATGATAAAAATAAGAAATCCAGACTTTAGTTTGGTAATACAATTCGTGTAACCATTCAAAGACTGCTGTGCTGTGCTTTCAACTCCTAAGAGAAGGAATGGGGGCAGGGCAAGGGAGCATTTTAAGGAAACGAAGATTCCAAATCTAGGGAACCTAGGATTTACTAGGATATGTGCATTATGAAATTTCATATATCAGGATATGGGTAGTGCATCAAGATTTGAGATAAGTAGGTCCTTGTATACTCTTCAATGCCTGGAATGGTTTTACATGCAAGCTAATAAAGGCCCACCTTTGGGAGAAGAAAAAAGGCCTCCTTTCAAATGAAATCGAGCCCAGGTAAAGTTGAAACTCAACCCACAGAGCTCTGGCACGGTTTTCAGGCTAAAAGAAGATGAGAGTTTCAGTTTCATCGTCTTGTAACACCGATAAATGTGATGCCCTGGCTGACAAAATTTGCAGATTACAGAGGTCTTTCTAAACACGTGTAAATATGTGTGCCAATTTATGTGCAACTCCAAACAATTTGCCGTTTGCAGTGAAAGACCAACCACTCTTCCGTGAGACAATCATTCGGTTCATTTACATGAAAAGTCTTAAATAGCAAAAATGCTACTTTCAATTTACATCATAGTGTCCCCATAATAGAGAACAATGGCTTCCTCAATGGAAGTTAATGCGAAGGAGAGGCATACTGAGATTTAAAAAAAAAAAAAAACAACAACCCCAAAACAAAACAAAAAAAACCCCCAACCATAACAACTTTTCAGCCTACTTTGCAAATATTAACCAATTAATCTAATTTAAAATATAGTACACAGCAACAGCGTCCCATGCTGGGAGTCTTCCGTGCTAGTCGAGTAATATTAGTTAATCTTTAGAGTCCGCCCGGTTCACACACAAGTGAGCCTTTTTAAGAGCTTATGGTGACATTTTTTTTCAGACCCTTCCATTTTGTCCTAGTTCCAGGGCAAGCACAATTAGCTTGACATGGGGTTTCTCTCTCCTTTCAAAAAGCCTTTCAATTGAGTGCACCTCCGTGAAAGAGGTAGGACCCAGGACCAAGGGCTGGATAAAGAGCATACCTGATGTTTGTAACATATTGTCTCCTTCTTGGACGTGTTAACGATTATACACACCTTTGTGGTCGCAACGGGGTTTATATATGTATCTTTCTGCGTTCTGTAGGCTATGACCACCTGCTGTATGTACAATACGTGCTTGCTGTATGTATCTGTACCATCTCCCTTCTTGAATGTAAAGACCGAGCTATTACATCTTGTTTACTCAGTATCATTCCCCCATTAAAAAAAAAAAAAAAAATCCTACAAGAACTGAACATGCCATGTTTCAATCTGGCCCCAGTGGCTTTTTCTCTGAAAGCAAAACGTGTGTCTTTTACACCAGGGCTTTCTCCCCACCCCAGGGGGTGTCTTCCATTCTTTTGTGGCTCAGTTTAAGGCGAAAAGGGCTCCAAACCACTAACTAAAACAGAGGAGACCCCTTCTTCCACCTCCAGGGAGAATTTCAGATTGAATTTATCTGAAGATAGCGTGCTCTCTTCTTACTTATTTGCCACCATTACGAGGATAACAAAACACCACCTTGGCTTCAAGATCCTGGGTAGAGGCTCACGGTCTTTTTCAACCATCTTTGGCGAGGCCTTGCTTCCTTCCACTCGAGTAAGTTGCGGCTTGGGGCCATGGAAAGGACTGGGTGAGAGCCCGAAATGTCGTTTGGAAAAAAAAAAAGCAGCCCTCCCTCCATCCCCTCAGCACCACCAGCCCGCTCTCCGGGGTGAAGCTGCCATCCAGCAGCCCCATATGGGCGAGACTTGGCAGGTCCACGGGGCTCCCCTCGCAGCCGCGGAGTCGGCGCCGGCCGGGCGTCCGCGCCCGCCGGCTGCGGGGCTTCGCGCTCTCGCCTCCCTTCTCCCCGAATCCTCCCTTCCCCCCACCGGCCGCCCCCTCCCCCTCTGCCGCGCTCCCTTTTGTTCGCTCGCCGCTCGGGCCGCCGCCGCCGCCGCCGCAGGGCCCGCACCCCCAGCCGTAGGACCCGGCGTGGCGGGCCGC